GATTTTTTTCTTTACTGTGATTATTATATAAACAAAGATTTAGTCAAAATCTGTAACCAAAATTTCTTAGAATTTATTTTTCTAAGAAAAAAAAAAACACTTGACTGTATTAAAGATAGACTTCATACAACAAAAATAACATAGAAGAAAAAGTCAAGAATTTAAGATATACATTTTCTCTATCGCTTGCTGGGGTAGAATCTGTGGCCCTGCAGAATAAGTCCCACCAGCTACCCTGTGTTAAGTATTTAATGGAGGCATAAACACCCCACTGCCCTGCAGTAATTGATGCTGTCCTGCCAAAACAGAAAACCTGAGATGTGAAGGAGACAACTACACACACGCACACACAATTTATAACAATATATGTTTATTGTTTTTAAAGATAAATTAATGTTCCACTAACCTTCAAATTCAGGGTTTTTTTTTTTTTCCCATTAGAAATTAAGGTGAAAATTTCTTCTCTGGAATTAAGCCAGAGCTAAGAGAAAAAGAGTGTGGACTTCTCCCCTCCCCCATTCAACAATCTATATCTAAGAATAAGTCTATATCTCTATATGTGACCAGAAGCTCAGAACACTATAAATACTATCACTGAATTCAACCTAACTTAATACTGTCTGAGCACCTGTCATCTGTCAGATGTTGTTCTTGTATAATCAATATATATTCATGAGTAAAGCAGCCAGAGACCTGCCTTATTAAGACCATGTTTTCGATAGTGAAACAAAGTAAAGGAAGGAATATGTAAATTTCGTGGGGGTAATTAATGGTATAACTGTCCAACCAAAAGCAAAATATGCGGGAATAGAAAAGCAGTTGGGGTGAATTGGAACCTTCTTTTTTTTTTTTTTTTTTTTTGGTTTTTCGAGACAGGGTTTCTCTGTGTAGCTTTGCGCCTTTCCTGGAACTCACTTGGTAGCCCAGGCTGGCCTCAAACTCACAGAGATCCGCCTGGCTCTGCCTCCTGAGTGCTGGGATTAAAGGCGTGCGCCACCACCACCGCCCGGCTGAATTGGAATCTTTTTAATCTGTTAAACAAATAGACAAGCAACAGTCTGGGGGATGTGGGTAAGTTAGACTTCCCTTGAAAACAGGAGAAATAAAAATGGAAGGCTCATGGGCAGTGGAAAGGAATGAGTTGATGGCGTTTGGCCAGAACTACTCACTTAGTCTCAGCTGCTGCCTGGAGTTGACAATGTGGCCTGCAAATATTTTGCCTGCCATTTCTGTTTTCTCAAAGATGTTCTCAGCCAGGTTCTCAGCGTTGTTCAGAAGGAAGCGCACACCTTCCCCTATTCTGAGTAACTCATCTCCATTTAACACATTCTTCTCCACCAAGTCATCAAAAACCCCATCCAACACATTCTTGGCCAAACCCTTGATCTTGTAGATTGGATCTCTTTCATGTGTCCTCTTGCCTGTGAAAATTATAGCATTTAGGCATGAAAAGAAATTTAGATATCTGTTCCTACACTAGGAGCTTTCAGATTTTAATGTACATAAGAATCATCTACATAGCCAAATAAACAGTACTCCCTGAATGAAATTCTTGGTATTCCGCTTAATACATTAGGATGAGACATGTGTGTGTGTGTGTGTGTGTGTGTGTGTGTGTGTTTAATTATTTCTTCTATTTTTTGAAATCGACTTGTGTGACTTGTGTGACTTGTCTAGAAAGCACACAAACATGTATTTTGTCTAACACTCTTCAAGTTTATACAGGAGGAAACTGAGGTTGAGAGAAGAGTAACAACTCCATTAAGCAATTTAGCAGTAGATATCTGACATTTCTGTGTATCACTCATGGTCCTTCCGCTTTTGCTCATGTTTGTTAATAACTTTGAAAGACGTTATATTTCGTATAGGGCATAGTGAACTGTGAACACGTACAGCTATACTGTCATTTACTCTTATATTGCCGGGGCTGGTAGGCTTCTCTGTGTGGAGATGAAGAAATCAAGCTAGCTGTCTTGCTTGCTGCTGAGAGCAGTTCAGACACCTAGTAGAATGGTGGAGGACATGCAAGTTGTTCAATAGTACAGCTTCTCACCCTCACAACAGAACACTCACATAGTTGGAGAGAACCTCAAGTCAGTGAATCAAAAGCCAAGCCTTAAGCCACAAGAAAATATTGAAATGATGAGTCTGAATTGGTTACATTTTCCTTTCTTTCCAGCAGTTGTAAAATACTAAGTTGGAGGCTTTCAGTGTTTGCATGCCCCCTCTGTAATCTGTGCTGCCATAGCCCCTTCACTCCCGGACTAAAACAACTCTGTTCCTACGAAGTCTCTCCGCATCGTTACTTTTGCTCTCTGAAACCCATATGTAACTTCCTTAACAGAATCATAAACAAAGAAAGGACTCACCCGCCATGGCTGTGCAGGCTTCCTGGTCGTAAAAAGCAACGAAATCGAAAGCAATCTCAGAAACAGTCTGCATTTCCTTTCCAGAAACATACCGATGATGCTGTCTCAGTGTGGGGGAGGTGGGCGGGGATGCCTTTCCTTTCCAGAAACACTGATGATGCTGTCTCACTGGGAGATTCCAGCTTGGCAAATTCTCTTGCTCTTTGTCCAGAAGGTCAACCAGGAATCTGCTTTGATATGCAATGCTTCTCCTTGACACAACAATGTTTTCTGACTAAAAATGTATGTTCACACACAAATACATTCTGAGTCCAGTCTGTTTTTAGCATTGTTTCAAAGTGCAATGTGACTTCTGTTTTTCTCAGTGTCACTGGGCCTTTCCATAGATAAGAGACCACACAACAGTGGCACTTGCTCAACAAGGAATGTGCCAGTCTAGAAGGCTTCAGAGGAAAGCGATGCTGAGATATGTCAAACTTTGATGTGGCTACCACCAATTCAAACCCAGGTAAGCAATCTTGTTTCTTGTCTCTGAGTCAGCATCTTTACTTGTCAATTTTGGATATTATTTATCTGGAGATAAAAGTGCACATTTTTGTTTGTAAAATGCACAAGAGAGTCTTTCACTGTAACTTTTAAAATTTTATGGATAAATGATGGCAATAAAAGTTAAATAATGGAAATATTTATAAAATGGAAAGAATGTTACATGATATTGAGGGCTACACGTTAGCTGCCTTCCTTGTGAATTTTTTCTGTTTTTTATAAAATACTTAATACAGTTCTAATGCTGTTCGCTTTTTACATCAGCCACCTTATAGTAAGGCAAGGCCTCGGGAGTTAATTGGTGTGGCAAACACATCACCTCCAAAGAATCATGTGCAGTTCTAGGCCCTGTCTTTACAAAGCCTTGTGCACTTTTCCAGCTTGGACACCTGAGCACCCATGCAGATTACCTGGTGCTTCTGAGAGAGAGAGAGAGAAAGAGAGAGAGAGAGAGAGAGAGAGAGAGAAAGAGAGAGAGAGAGAGAGAGAGAGAGCGCTTGCCCATTTCTTAGCAGACCAGGAAGCATAGAAAAGGGGAGAGAAACACGCAGTTGGAATTCTCCTTTTTTCCTTTTTAACTACTTCAGGACCTCTGAACAAAAGGAACCACATTTAGGCCAGCTCTCCTCCCTGTCCCACACTCAATCCTCTCCAGAAACTCTCTCACAATCATCCCTGCCTCAAGGACAGGACAAGCCTCTCTTAGTCCAATCAAAATGAGATTTGAAAAGCTACCACAGTGTCATGTCATACAATCATATCAGGAATCAATTAACTTGCTTTTTAAAACTTCATAGTGAATAACATATATTCTGATAAGTAAAGAATTACCAAGTTTAGTAGATTATAACTTCAAAATGCTATATTGTCAAATTATTACATTCAAAATTCAATGAATAGCATAGTGTAGAAAAGCTTAGAATAAAAACCAGAGTCCCCAATTTGCCTTACTTCTATATTTTAGATACAACTTCCCTAAGCTTTTTCTATTTTTTGAATGGTGTAATCATTTCTTAAATGATTTTGTTTGACAGTTTCACACAGAATGAATTATAGCTATTTTCACCCCTGTTTCCCATACTTATCCCCTTTCCTCTCCTGCTGGAGTCTTTCTCAACAAGTCCCCTCCTGTCATGTCCCTTTTCTATTAGTGTACCATTGTGTTTATTAGATTTTCTTTATTGATCACAGATGGGAGGTTATTTAATGGAAGCTTAGCAGTGGTTATACCACTGAAGAAGTTGATAACTCCTCTTTAAAGAACTCTTAGCTGCCAATAGTCCTTCAGGGAGGGCCTCTCCTCTACCCATGACAAAATGTTGATGGTTCCAATCATGAGCCTGAAATAGCTACCGTCTCAGTGAGTTTTACATAAGACACCAAGGCTGAAGTAAGCTCATGTGTAGGGGTGGTTGTCTGTGCATTAACTGGAAGCATAGCCCCTAGGGAGGCAGCAGGTAGCTGCTAGGTACCTGTCCCCCTGAGGCTTGGCCAGACAAGGACCCACTTAAGACCTGGCATACATGTACATGCTTGCTCTTCTCTTTGTTACCTCGTGGTCTTGGATGCTTGTGCTGTGGATCAAGGCAGAGCTCTCCTGAGAACCAAGTTGGACCGTACCCTGCCCCTCTGTGATTCTGAGATTCTCTCCTTTACTCTCGTTGTGAGTTAACCCCCCAATAAATTCTTATAATCTTTAAGCTATCTCAGTGGATTGGTAGCGATTTAATCACAATATTCATGTAAGGTAGTCGCACCACAGTGAGTTCATGTAAAATAGCCACAACCTCAGTGAGTTCATACAAGGTAAACAAGGCTAAAGTGAGCTCATATAATATAGTCACAATTGCAGTGAATTCATGTGAGATAAGTCATACAAGGTAAACAAGGCTAAAGTGAGCTCATATAATATAGTCACAACTGCAGTGAATTCATGTGAGATAAGTCACACTACATTGAGTTCATGTAAGATAGTCACAACCCCATTGAGTTCATATTAGGTAGCAGCAGCCATGTAGCAGGGTTTTTTTTTATGACCAGAAGACATCATTTTGCTGCATATCTATCTATCTTCTTAACACTTGAGCATGTCTATTTTATGTATTTTCTGTCATTGAATACTTCATATAAAAAGGAACTGTAGCTAGCTTAAACTGTCTCTTCTCTTCCTGTTGCCAATGCCATGGCTTTCAATTATTCCCTACACCATGTAGTATGAATTATTAAGTAACTTTTTGAGACACGGTTCATAGCCCCAGTATGGTGATTTGAAAGAAAATGGGCCCCAAACGAAGTGCACTATTAGGAAGTGTATCCTTGTTGGAGTCGGTGTGTTACTGTGAGAATGAGCTTTGAGGTCTCCTGCTTAAGGGATGCAGTGTTACAGTTTACTATTTGTTGCTTGTAGTTCAAGATGTAGAACTCTCAGCTCCTTCTCCAGCACCATGCCTGCCTGCAAGCTTTCATATCCCACCATAGTGATAATGGACTAAACCTCTGAAACTGTAAGCCACCTCAATTAAATGTTTTCCTTTATAAATGTTGCCACAGTCATGGCATCATTTCACAGCAATAGAAACCCTAACTAAGACACCCAGGATGGTAGCAAACCCTTGATTCTTCTGTCTCAGACTCATGAATGTTGAGACTGGAGGCTTGGACCATCATAGTGATTTGAAAACCACATTTAAGCCCCATTTTCATTTCATCAGTGTTAGAAAGTGGCTTCTCTCTCTTCTGTGTAAGTTAAATGAGCTCCAGTCTCCATTTTCTCTCTAATAGTACTTTGTTTTGATATTATTTTTTTATTTTGGCAAAATGTAAATAATCTGAAATTTACCATCTCAATCACCTTTCAATTTGTAATCAGTAACATACACATAATTAAATGCATGTATTTTATCTTTAGGTAAAGTGTTTTTTTGTTTTGTTCCTATGACAAAAATATCACTATATTTCTTAGACTGGTCTTGAATTCACAATCATCTCTTTCTCAGCTTCCCTAGTTCTGGGATTATAGGTATACAGCACAATCCTTGGTCAAAATCCTTGATCCTTGGCCAGGCTGATGAAATGAGCTTCAGTTGCTTATTGTTTCTGGAGAGGAGACAGAGAATAGATGGTGAGCATGTTCATTCCATAAAGAATCCACCCCTTCACTGTTGCTGGAGGGCTTCTCTCCAAGTTCCACCAAGCCCCACAGTCCCACAATCCACGTATAGAATAATCACTCAGGCGTTTATATTACTTATAAACTGTATGGCCATGGCAGGCTTCTTGCTAACTGTTCTTATATCTTAAATTAACCCATTTCTATAAATCTATACCTTGCCACGTGGCTTGTGGCTTACCGGTGTCTTTACATGCTGCTTGTCCTGGCGGTGGCTGCAGTGTCTCCCCCTCCTTCTTCCTGTTTCCCCAATTCTCCTCTCTCCTTGTCCTGCCTATACTTCCTGTTTGGTCACTGGCCATCAGTATTTTATTTATATAGAACGATATCCACTGCACTTCACTCATCATTCATTGCCAACCATGTTCTTGCTATACCTGATATCCACCTAGATTCTCTGTAGTTTATGCAGGATAGGAAAAGATGCATCATAAGACAAAAATGAATATAAACACTGATGAACATATGAGCATAATTCAATAATTGTCAAACTATGCCTTCCACGGTTTATTATTGCTTTTTGGTTTTACCTTGGTTTTTCTTATAGCTGTTATCATTTGCTTTATCTTTTTGAGGTGATGAATTCAATCTAAATGCGTGGAAGTAGAATAAAAACTTGACAGTAGAACCATCTCCTGTGACCAGGCAAGACTTCAAATGGAAGGAGTGGGAAACCAACCCAGCCGCATAACCTTCAAACTACAGTCTGTTCTGCCTATGGGATGTGCTGGGGTAAGGATGATCTAGAGATTGAGAGAGTGGCCAAACAGTGACCGGTCTAGCCTAAAACCCTTGTGAGTTGAGTGAGCCCACCCCTCACATTGCCTGGAGCACCAAGACCCACACACTGGATGACCCAGAGACTTAGGATAGAGCCAAACACCACTGGAGGAAAAGCAGTGTCAATGCAATGATGCCTAACAATATTCCACTATACTCATAGATTGGTGCCTAGCCCGCTTTTCATCAGAGAGGCTTCATCCAGCAACTGATGGAATTAAATGCAGACCCACAGCCAGACATTAGGCAGAGTTTGCGAAATCCTGCAGAAGATGGGGAGAAAGAACTGTAAGAGCCAAAGGGGTCAAGGACACCACAAGAAAACTCACAAAATCAAGTAATCTTGGCTCACAGAGACTGAACTGACAACCGGGGAGCCTGCATGGGACAGACCTAGGCACTCTGCATATATGTTAGACTTGTGTAGCTTGGTCCTCTTGTGGGACTCCTAACAGTGGGAACAGGGACTGTTTCCAACTCTTTTACTGGCTTTTGGGACTCTACTTCTCATACTTGTCCAGCCTCAATAAACAGGTATGTGCTTTGTCTTAATGCAAATCAATATGCCATATTTTGTTGATATTCTTAGGAGACCTGTCCTTTCCTAAACAGAAACAGAAGAGGAGTAGATTAAGGGATGGGA